GTTCAATGCTATGCCCTGAGTCTCACCTCAGGGGTCAGTGATCAGGACACTTTTGGGAGGTGTGAGGCTGATCTCATGGGTGTGTTAGCAAGAATCTCAGTGGGTAGGTGTTTGGCCTTTGCTTGGTGGTCTTTTTTTGTGTGTGTCGAACTCCCTCCCTATGAACAACTCAAAAGCCAGCCAGCTTTCCCCGTGATGCGGATTGTTTGCTGTTGCAGGTTGAGTGTCACCCGTACCTCACGCAGGAGAAACTGATCCAGTACTGCCACTCCAAGGGCATCACCGTTACAGCCTACAGCCCCCTGGGCTCTCCGGATAGACCTTGGTGAGGCTTCCAAGCAGTGGATCCTTCTCTTGATAATCTTAAAAACATTATTTTATGTTTGGCAAATATTGGTATGAGACCATAAGTCAGTCTAAAGAAAAATGTGTGTCAGGTAAGGCGTTTGGTACAACCAAATGGGATGACTGTGGGAAAAAATGGGAATTGAAAAGCAACAACAGCAACAACAAAAACATAGGCGACGTGTTTGACCCTCTGGGAATATTTCCAGTTCAGCCACCCAAGGATGAACCAGGCTTTGCAAAATGCTGAGGCTTCAGAGCCCGGGGGAAGGTCCTTAGCTTCCAGGTCCTCCTGCCTGCCTCCCAGATGGAGAGGCTCTGATGATCAGTCTTGAGACCCTCATTGGAGTGGTGTCCATCTGTACATGGTAGCCATGGTGATTGTTCACATCAGCATCTTTCTGCCTCTAGGGCCAAGCCAGAGGACCCTTCCCTACTGGAGGATCCCAAGATTAAGGAGATTGCTGCAAAGCACAAGAAAACTGCAGCCCAGGTACCATATTTTTATTTTTCTTGTCATCCAACAACTCTTTTTTCAAGTCTCATGTTTCATTTCTTGTGTTGTCCTCAACTAACTCCTTAAAAGGGAAGAACACAGGAGCTGAAGCCATCTATAGTGTTTCCTTCGAAGTCTGTTGGAACCTCCAGGAAACACAAGAGCTGTCACTGAAACAAAGATAGCTTCTGCCTCACAGCTTCCTGTTAAGCCCTACTGCCAAGTCGTAAAGCATGGCTTTGGAGTCTAGGGATATAGGTGCAGATGCCAACTACACTTCTGATCAGCCTTATGACCCAAACCGCTTTCTTTATTCGTAAAAAATGAAGATCACAGGGTTGTCCCTAAGGTGAAGGGAGAGAATGAGGCGGGGGGCTGGCACAAGTCTAAGAGCTGCGAAGGGCTGAGTCAGTATCAGCGATTGTACCTGAAGCCACAGTGAGCTGCAGAGATGTTTTATTCTTCCTTTCCATAAAAGGAAGGGTCCTTGTAGCTGAGTGGAAACATGATGTCCCCTTTCCGCACAGGTTCTGATCCGTTTCCATATCCAGAGGAATGTGATTGTGATCCCCAAGTCTGTGACACCGGCACGCATTGTTGAGAACATTCAGGTAAGATCCCGGCTGGTCGGCCCTGGTACTTCTCCGTGGGATGGGGCAGAGGCAGACCCTCTCACCAGGATTCTCACCTCATTCCTGCACTGTCTTTGGCCCCCTCCGTTCCCACCACCCTAACATTTTCCAGTCTAGGGTGCTAGGCTCAATATACCTGAGATGAATGACCCATGGGCTTAAGACATGCTGGGGACAGTGCCTGCGGAAACCCTGTCAGGTGTGAGCACAGCTGTGCCTCACACCACTGAGAAGACCCTCAGTTGCCCCTGAGCAGCTAAGCCCTGGGCCACCACATGAGCAGACTGTCCTGGCCTCCCTGCTCATCTTCCGGCAGCAGAGGAGGTGTGAACTGTCCTTGGAGAACTGTCTTCTAGAAGGGCCCATCATGGAGCACAGGGCCTGTGCACACCTGGGGCTTAGTGCCTGTGAGCCTGGTCTCCCTCCCCTAGAACACTGAGCACTACAAATACTGCGGTCTTTGTGTACGACTTAATTTAGAGAAAAATTTATACCCCATGGACATAATGGGAAAAACACCCGTGACCAGTTTGTGCGGCTAGAACTCCCTGCTAGAATGACCGACAGTCTCCAGTCACAGCAGTAACGGCCTTACTGATGATGTACTGGAACTCCTATCTTTCCAGGTCTTTGACTTTAAATTGAGTGATGAGGAGATGGCAACCATCCTCAGCTTCAACAGAAACTGGAGGGCCTGTAACGTGTTGCAGTAAGTGGCATGGATTTAACTAGGAGCATTGCCAGGAGTTTTTCTAAACTGGTAGAGGGTTAGTTGGAAAAATTAGAAGGCTTCTGGGACTGCTTGTGTCTTCAAATACAATTTTGGGGCAGTTCTGAAACTAAAATTGGGGTACCTGGGAATCACTGCGAGGGGCATATCTCTAATTGCTGCTCATTGTCTGAACTTCTGGATGTAGAGCTAGAATTGTAACAGAAGGTGTGTTGTCAATAGGCAGGAGGCGAGCATTCATTTATTCCTGCATTCAATAAATATCTAGTGGTCCTCTATGTGCCAGGCAT